AAGAGTTATGAACCTGAAGTTTCGAGCGATAGCCCTTCGTCAGAGCAAATGATATTCGCTCAGAAGATGGATTGTTGAAGTAGCTTAGATTAAAAAAAAACCGCTAAGTGGATGAGTTACTCACCCTCTGCTGCTGCAGTTAGGATTATAAGCAAGAAGATAACTTTCTTTGTCAACATTGCTTTCTTACATCGACCGTCGCCTTAGCCTAGTTTCCGTTTCGTGGTTTCAGTTTCGGTGAAGTTGTTTGTCCGAAATCGATCAGCATAATGACGATGTCTTGTCAAATGATAAAGTTTAACTTGAAAAGGTTAGAACCTTACCAATATGGAGCCTTAAGCACGTCACGCATGGAATGAACAACCAATGGCAAGTCACCAAAAAGTCAAGTTTTTAATTAGGTAAGGAGCTTAAACAATAATATAAGGAACAACTTGTTTTTCTTAATCTCTGTCATACTAGAACTGGATGAGATATATCCGCAAAACTCAATATAAATGCAAATATCAATCATTCTTTGTTAACTTAACAGTTTGAGTGTAAACTGGAGAATCAATTGAGATGTCAGTTGCTCAAGGTGGCTGAATATAAGGTGGCGATATTCAGCGCGTTGAAGAACCAACTTTCCCTCTCTGCTGTCGCACGACTCTTACGTAGCGTTGACTAAACGACTGAGTTTGAAACAGCTGGTGTAACATGCCAATCGACATTCATATGCTTATGTTAGGGGGAAATCATGGCCCTTCACTTGAGGATTTTGATTTATGAGTGCATCTCGATAAATTTCATTTAGCCTTTTCAAAATAGGATGCCGCTAAGTTTGTTTGTTTTCATTGACCAGCAGCAGGATACATATTTTTATCAGCCAATTTTTTAATCTGTTTTCAGCAATTGGGTTAGATTTCTTTACCGGTTGCCCGTATTAAAAAGGACCTATAAATCATCGAATTAGGAAAAAAAGATGTCATAATATCTCTAGGTTATGCCAGTTAATCTCGTAATTGGCTTTCGAATGCAATATGCCTGCAACATATATGTAAGTGGTAGTCATTTTTGGAAAGCCGAAATGTTGTAAGTTGAATGAGGAGTCTAAGAAATACTACCGTTGAGCGGTATCTTTTTATATTTTCCTTTTGTTCTATTAGCAATGCGTCTACCGCTAATCTGAATGAAGTACGTAAGTTGGAAGGATAGTCGAAATATCTATTAATTATTCAGATTTTCGGTCGCTTCGTTCCAAAACAGCGTCACGTCATTTCGCTACGAAGTCACGTCGTTCCAGTCATAAGCGATTAGAATAGGAAAACCTTTCATCAATTATTATCACACCAAATTCTCCCAGCTGAGTTACTAAACAAAAAGTTTGAGTCAAAAGGCAAATGCACATAACTGACACTTTGAAACACTCTCAACTGGTTTAACAGGTAAACTTGCCCTTCTTTAAACACATAAAAAACACGTTGCAATCAGTGGAGCAGCAAGATTACCAGAGTTCGACTCACAACATTCAAAATGAGGATTGGCTACTGTAGATACACATGGTGTTTGAACGATTATTTCAGCTCCTCATCAATTCGCTTCAAACCTATAAGATTCAACTCTGTAAATAAATTAACATGTATCCTAAAACGTGCGTAGAGTAATCGATCCTTGCCAAAATACTTAAACTCCACAGATTTCAAGGAACTGGCATTTCCTTCTCAAATAAAAGCAAAACTAACTTAACGAAGTCCTTGAGGTCACATAAAACTGGATAGGAAACTGATTACAAACTATCTATTACAACTCCTCGAATACTATACAACAAAACTGCAAGCAGTGTACGTGTTGAGTGCTACGAGCACTAATCACGATTTGGTCGAATAATCACATACAACTTATCGAAGGAAAACAACGAAACGATTAATATAGCATCGTGCGACCTCTCAAGGAAAGGAAAAGGTGATCCTTTACATTATAATTCTTTATCCGATCTTGATCTGTAAATACACGTCCTTAATGGCGAATGTATCAGTTATCTCGTAAAGCTTCTTTTTGACTAAGAGTACAGGCCACGAATATCCCAAACCCTATAATTTGAATGTCTTATCTTCACAGAGCGTTGAGAGTTCCGTTATCTTTAAAGAGAGTTTAGAATTCAGTGAATAACTACTCACAGATGACATTTGTTCAGAGAGCTGATCAATTCTCAGCACCTGTTTGCGAAAGTGCACTGCGCATCAATCTCTATCGCCAATGCTTGACAATGTCTTCATCTAAATACCCTAAGTCAATCCGATGAGTAGGACAAAAACCAGAAAGTATTTCGTTGCCA